ACGCGTGGCCAACTATGGGATTAAACTGCCTTTAATCGCATCGCGTGGTCCACTCGTATACGCGTTGCTTTATTTTGCGAGGCTCCCTAACCCAAATTGTACTTGCCCATCAATTTCCCCCCCCCCCCAAAAAAAAAAAAAAAATTCAGGCCCTGACGCCGGCCACTGAATGTACGAGTTTAGAGAGCGGTGTAGGAAGTAAATTTTAGAGAGGGGTCGATGATGTTGGGGCTGAGGTACAGACTTTTTATTTTTCTAGCACTTCCAGCTGGCCTGAAATTGCACTGTCAGTCTCATTTGAATGTAATATTTTGTTACCTCCCCCCATTTATTTTATAATTTTGTAAAATGTAGGGCTTCCTCCTAATTTGTAACTTGAAATTTATTCAATATGCCGGTATATACAAGACAAAAAAATGCAAATAAAATATCATAGCTGTCCTACTATACATTTTTACATTTAAAGCATACATAAATAAAAACAAATGTAAAACTATTTGTATTGAAGTCATGCCTATATCAAAAATATTTTATTATTGACGAGGCAAAATGTTTATCACACTGTTGTAAGAAGAAAAATAATGGAATCATGAAAAATTGGTCTAAAAATCTAGCAAACCCCCAACTTTTTGTGATTTGGTGGAAGCTCAGTTACTTTTCGCAGACCCTTAAGGGATCCGCGGACCCCAGGTGGGGAACCACTGTTCTAGTTATGCTGTTAATGTTTACATTCTTAATTTTGGTTTCTTTTACAGAAAAAAGAGAAGCATCAACATCAAAACGACGAATGTTAAATGTGGGTATGTACTGGACGCTAAATGATTACTTCATATTATTTGAAACTTATTAAATAATTAGGCTCTAAAAAATATTGTTGATAGAGTTATGGTATTACTTATTAATTATTAGTTATTACCAACTTTGGTTATGGTAGTTCTTTATTCTTAACCAAGGAATTAGAAACAAAATTTAAAGTTGCATTGTATTTTTTCAATGAATTCGTTCCATAATCTGAAAATATTTACTTTTTACTTACTTTATAAAGATAATGAACTTTATGGTGTAACTATGAAAATGTAATTTTTAAATGATTTCAGTTTAGTCATAATATATAAGCAAAATAAAACAATTTTCAACTTTTGTTTTTGTCTATTTGATATACCTGCAAGAGTGCAAGTACTTCAATATTCCATATTTCATTTTCCAGCAGTTCAGCATTACGCAAACATTAAGACTGATGTCCCAGAGCTGGAGATTCGAAATTAAGTTACGTCTCACTAACCCCCTACTCAATATCTTATGCATGTTTTTATGCATGTGTATTTTACTGGTTTTACTTTAGTTATTATTTTTTCCTTATATGTGTCATTAAATTTAGTATTAATAATTGCTTGTTATATTTAGTGAATACCAATAATAGTTATAATTACTGTATATAAATCACCTGTTACTTATAAATGTAAGTTACTTTATTTGTCATATAGTAAAGAATACAAATGAAACTTGTTTTCCCGGCATTATATAAAACCAGTAAGACAAATAAAAATTGCACAAAATAACACACACTGATGCTCTGCAGTAACTATGCTGCTACAAAATGCACAAATTGTCAATTTCAATTTCTTATCAATAGGTATTGGAGAAGCATCTACATCAAAACGACCAAAGTTAGACAAAGGTACAGTATGTATTGGGTGTTGTTACAGCCACTAATGTAGAAAACAACAGCTAATGTACAATACAAGGGTGTTCCATACATTGTAGCCGAACTTTATTGCGTCCGAAACGATCCTACACCCCTAGGCCTATAATGGCTAGGCCACACTGTAGGCCTAAACTAGGGCATAATATAAGGCAGTATTTCATATTTATATTTATGTAATCCTTAAAGATGTTTATAGATTTAGCTAATCTTTCAATCTTTCGATATAGTACCTTTCAATGACTAATGGTTCATGAATATTCGAGAAAAGTGCATTTTAATAGTTGATGTTACCAAAATTCCATTGCTTAAAAAGCAGTAATTAAATACGAAAATATGTTAATTGGATTTTATAGAGTACTACAGTTTTACGTCACGATACTACATGATACTAATCCGTTGCTGTCGGCGACACAAAATGCGTTAAACCGGACGCAATTTTCCCCACTGATAAATCATTGATCCAAAATTCCAACGTAGTTATTAAGATATTGTATCTTAAGATATTGTATCTTAATTTTTCTTTATATATTTTAATTGATGATTTATGTATTCGATAACTAATAGAACATTTTGTTGGTAAATTATTAGGTTTTAAAATGCCTATAGCAGAAAGCCTATTCTAAACCATTAAAATTATGAAGTCATTCAGGCTTAATGAACAGTAACCAATGTCTGGTTGATAACAAATGTGTAAACTGTACTATGGATTTAGTGTGTTTCTTCAATTCAGGCATTTTACAGAGCGTCGGGACCCGGTTAGGCCTAGCCAATGACGGCTGATGGTAGGGGTGCCCGAATTACTAGCCTATTGTACCCCTATGTACGCACTCCATACATTTCAAACATTTAAACTGCAATATATGTGTGTTTATGTATCTTACCTTTCGAAGATATTGACTAATGGTTCATGAATATTCGAGAAAAGTGTATTTTAATAGTTGATGTTACCAAAATTCAATTGCTTAAAAAGCAGTATAAATACGAAAATATGTTAATTGGATTTTATAGAGTACTACAGTTTTACGTCACGATACTACATGATACTAATCCGTTGCTGTCGGCGACACAAAATGCGTTAAACCGGACGCAATTTTCTCCACTGACAAACCATTGATCCCAAATTCCAACGTAGTTATTAAGATATTGTATCTTAATTTTTCTTTATATATTTTAATTGATGATTTATGTATTCGATAACTAATATAATGCAAGCTTTTGTGTTTTTAGAACATTTTGTTGGTAAATTATTAGGTTTTCCTGTCTGTTAGCTGTATTTCGGTTAGCAAAATGTGCCGTCTTAGCTAGCTATGACAGATGTGTGTTACTTGATATTGAACGTCAGGTAGCGGCCCAAGCGGCGTCTCTACAACATGCTAAGCCTAGGCATATAACTAGCATTCCAGCGTGGGTTCCGAAGCGAGATGGAAACTCTTCAAATCAAAAACAGCGTAGGTCAAGGGGTCATCGAGGAGGGGTAAGGAACCGTCTTAAAAAGAAACAACATCACCCTCCGCTTCCGGTAATCACCCTTAGTAACGTTCGTTCTATCAAAAACAAAATTGACGATATACAAGCTCACTGTAAGTTCATCTCTGGAATTCTTTGTTTCACTGAATCATGGCTAAGCCAAGATATTCCTGATAGTGTAGTATAGTGTAGTGTATATATCACTGAATGACACTGGTAAATCCAGAGGAGGTGGACTGTGTATGTATGTTAACAGAAGATGGTGCACTAACAACAAGGTTAAGAAACAAGTTAGTGATGTGAATATTGAGTTATTATGTGTCGCGTTAAGGCCATTCTACCTGCCACGTGAATTTAACGAGCTTTACTTGTGCCTTATTTATATCCCACCTGACGCAAATACTGGTAAAGCAACAGATATTGCTTTTGATTGTGTTCAGGAAATTTCTGATTCATCGCCCGACTCCCCAAAATTTATATTAGGAGATATCAATCATGCAGATAGAGCATTGAAGTCCAGATTCCCTACATTTTACCGATGTGTTGATAAACCGACAAGGGGAGGGAACATTCTTGATCAATGTTACTGCTCAATTAAGAACTCATATAAATGTTTTATGCGTCCACCTTTCGGAAATTCTGATCATAATATTATCAACCTGATACCAACTTACAAACAAAAGATTAAAAGAGAACGCCCATGTAAAAGAACTTTTTAGCATTTGGAATGACAAAAGCATACATGTTTTACAATCATGTTTTGAGGACACTGATTAGGATACGCTTACAGAAGGAGAGAATTTAGAAAATGCAACATGCATTATGAATGAATATATTCGATTTTGTGAACAACAAGTAATAGATACCCGGACTGTCATAATTTACCCAAACGATTAACCCTGGATCAACAAATCTGTTAAACAAGTGATAAAGGAAAGAAAACAAGCATTTATAGTTGGAGACCAGGAGAAACTTAGGAAGCTTAAAATTCAATTGAAAAGAGAAATTCTAAAGGCTAAGGATACCTACAAGGAAAAACTACATGACTGTTTTCGCACTAACAAAGCAAAAGACGCTTGGGATTGTATGCGCAAGATGACAGGATGCAAGCCAAAGAATACAACTTTTGTTTTGGAAGGAAGTACAACTCAAGTTGCAAATGATATGAATAATTTCTTTGCCCGTTTTGAGAACGATTCTAATCAGGGCCAATTAGCATATAACACCTCTGATGCAGGCCGTATTGTCATTGGAAATTGGGAGGTTGAAAAATTATTCACAAAATTAAACACCAAAAAAGCTAGTGATCCAGACAAAATTAATTCAAGAATTCTTAAGATGTGCTCCAAACAGCTAGCAATACCTTTTACAAAACTCTTTCAGGAATCAATTGACTCTCACAAGATTCCATCATGTTGGAAAACCTCTACTATTATCCCTGTGCCAAAGAAATCGAAACCTACTGAAATAAATGATTACCGCCCTGTGGCTCTCACTTCGGTAGTCATGAAGTCCTTGAAGAAGCTCATAGCAAGACGTTGCCATTGCCATTGAAGGTGCATATAGATCAGCTACAGTTCGCTTACCAGTCGCGTAAATCCGCAGACGACGCAATTCTTACATTGGTTCACCTAATCCAACAGCATGTTAACAAAGCTGGCAATTTTGCAAGAGCAATGTTTATAGACTTCAGCTCTGCATTTAACACCATGAATCCATCCATACTAATGAGCAAACTTAGAGATCTGGAAGTGAACCCTTACATTATTATGTGGATCCAGGTCTTCCTGTGTAATCTCATTCAACGAGTTCAAATTTCACAAACTTTGTCTGATCCATTAACAACAAATATAGGCTCTCCACAAGGTAGTGTGATTTCACCACTACTGTTTATCTTATATACCAATGACTGTAGATCAAAATATAATGATACACATGTTTTGAAATATGCTAATGACACCGTAATTGTTGGTCTCATTAATAACAATTACATGGATACTTTAAAATGTTTTACTCAATGGTGTAAAGAGAATGACTTAAAACTTAACCGGAAGAAAACAAAGGAACTGATTGTAGACTTCAGACGGAAGCATAATGTAATTAGTCCTGTAAAGTTAGATGATGAAGAAATTGAAATTGTAAATAATCATAGTACCTTGGCATTGAAATTGATGACAAGCTTACATGGGAAAAGCAATGTGACAATTTGGTTAACAAGGGAATGTCACGCCTCCATTTACTAAGAAGGCTAAGGTCTTTTAATGTAGACAACACAATATTACAGTTATTTTATTTGTCAATGTTAGAAAGTGCACTAATATGTGGATGTGTCGTTTGGTTTAGTAGTATTAGAAAACAGGATTATGATAGAGTACAGAGAATTATTAAGCGTGCAAATAAAATAATATTTTGCCGAAATTTATTTATATCTAACACTTTATTTATATGCTGTATATTTTATGCTGGATGTTTTTATTAATTCAATTGCGATGTAATTATCTAAATGTAATTTCCTTTTGGACAATAAATTTATTTTGATCTCTTTGATATTGCCAAAGTAAAAGTTTAAACATTTTTTAAAATATAATACGTCCAATACTGCCACGAAGATATCCGCTTCTCTTGTGTGTGCACGTTGTCTGCTTGCGGTTTGAACAACCTTAAAGATCACAACCTCAGGGAAATATGTAATACAGTACTAGAATCTAGCTAAGACAAACTCCATTATGAAAGATACATATCACCCACTACTATAGTCTACAACTGGTTGCCGTCTGGGAAAAGACTAGGATGCTGCAACTGTAGAACAAGTTGGTTCCTTAACTCATTCGTTCCATATTCTATTAGATTGTTTAATGATTGGTTGGCTTAACGCATTATTTTTATGTAATGTTTTGTACTGTATATATAGTACTATGGACTTTTTGCCGAAATTTATTTATATCTAACACTTTATTTATATGCTGTATATTTTATGCTGGATGTTTTTATTAATTCAATTGCGATGTAATTATCTAAATGTAATTTCCTTTTGGACAATAAATTTATTTTGATCTCTTTGATATTGCCAAAGTAAAAGTTTAAACATTTTTAAAAATATAATACGTCCAATACTGCCACGAAAATATCCGCTTCTCTTGTGTGTGCACGTTGTCTGCTTGCGGTTTGAACAACCTTATTTGCATATCAATGAAGCACATAACATCACTAACTTAGAGAACAATAGAATCCAGTCGCATTTCCAATCTCCTTGTATAGTTGTCTAAATTTATGTAAACATCAATCATACACACATGTATAGTGTAGAGCTTGTCATGTTCACTGTGATTATTGTGATTGTACAGAAGCCCGTTAGTGTCAACAGTGAATAAAAATTTCAAATCAGTTAACTGGCGGCCGCCAGATAATTATGTGGCGGCCACCAGATAATTATGTGGCGGCTGCCAGATAATTATGTGTCAGTCGCCACATATTATCTGGCGGCCGCCAGTTAACTGATTTGAAATTTTTATTCACTGTTGACACTAACGGGCTTCTGTATGATTGTGATTGTAATAAAATATAATTATAACTGATTTCTTGGTAATTATATTATGTTAGTGGAAGCCTAGGAGGAAAGGAATGAACAATGTTAGGCTTTGCACTGGGGTTTCATCTCGGGATATAAATGGAGTATGACACCCATGTGAGGTAACAGAAACTTCAGGAAAGAACTAAAGACGACTATTTGGGAAAGTTTGTAGTGGATTACAGTAACCAACCTGAAATTTTAACTGGTAATGGGTGTTTATATTGCCCTTTCCCTTATGGTTATAAGTGCAAGTCAAGCCTCACTTATTTAGGAAAACAGTGGCAGGCAGAAAATTTAACATGTTATTTTGTTTATACTCTAGAACCAGGCGAAATGCAACGATATAGCATGACCAATATGCCACGTGGGATATGCCTGATCATCAACAATATGAAGTTCGAAGAGAAATGCGGATTGAGCGAACGTTTTGGTTCTAAGATTGATGAAGGTTTGTTGGGAAGAACTTGAGTTTTTTGGTGATCCGCTTCTCGAGCGGATCACCTCTTGTTATTGTACTGTCTCTTCTTTTTTTTTGGTGATCCCATCTGCTAGCGGATTACATCTTCTTATTGTCAGAGATCTTTTTTTTAATTCTAGGTTCTCCCCATTTCTTTTTAGCACGATATCTAAAAATTGGCACGAGATTCATACATGCACGCTTCAACAAACATTTAGCTTGGCCTGTAATAGTCACAATAAGGTTTTCAAAGTGCGCAATTTTGCGTTTTTATATTATCGATCATAGCCTAGCCAATTGCCATTTCGAAATTGTATTAAGTAAGCATTAACTTCAAGTCAATGTTAAATGTACCCTAATTTTACGCGTGCGCGTCATAACGCGCGTACGCGTGCGTCAAAATTTTAAAATGCTCTAAATCACATTTAGATTAAATTGGAGCACGTTTCAGGCCATTTTGAGCATTTCAAAATTTTTTGAAATTTACCACTACGCGTGCACATTTTTACGCGCGCAGCACGTATGGAAGATAGAAATTAATTTTTTTGTCACATTTTGGGTTCCTGACAAGTTTTGACAAGTTTCCAATCACTCTATGGCCAATAACAATGCCGTACGCACGCATCAAACATCTTTCTTTCGTCAAGCCTTTGATGACCCCATAATCAAATTAATCAGTCTTGATTTCTGAATCATATTTAGTGGATATAAACTTCAGGTCATGGTTAAACGTAATGTACATTATATTTTTGTGCGCCCGTAATAACGCGAGCGTTCGCGTGCGTCAAAATTAATATATGCTTTATATCATGTCTTTTTTTTAATCAGTTATAGCTCCTTAGGATGAAAGGTGACCCCTAACTTTTAATACATATTCTGAAAGCACATGAGCTGTAGATATGATTTTATATATCATAATAGCTGATCGGACAATGTGACGTCATCATATTGCCATCTGAATTTTTTTTTTTTTTAATTTCTTTTCTCAAAACATTGATGACGTCATATCTGAATAATATTAAATGGGTCAAGGTGTAATGTTAGGTATCTTACTTTTTTGTTTGTGCGTCTTAACGTGCGCGTACGTGTGCGTCAAAAATTACATACGCTTATAATTATGCCTATTTATAATCAAATATAGCTTCTTAGGATGAAAGGTGACCCCCAATTTTTATTACACATTCTAAAAGCACATATGTTGTAAATATGATTTTATATATCATAATAGCTGATCGGACATTGTGACGTCGCCATATTGCCATCTGAAGTAAAAAAAACTGAATTTTTATATATGATAAATACTATAAATGATCATTACACCTTCACCAACAGGCGTTTGTCTGAAAGTTGATACATATATATCTCATATCAGGAGACAACAGTGACATTAAGATGCGTATGTGCGTCATGACGTGCGCGTACGCATGAGTAAATCTTTTAAAACGCTCAAAATTCTTTTTTAACAAACTAAATTAGCGTATTTTGCCATTATCAGCATTTAAATATTGTTCAATCCGTGATGTCAGTGATCAGTGATGAGTTCAAATCTAGTCTTCTTCTTTCTTTCTCCCCTTTTCTGTTCGCACGATATCTCAAAAAATGCCACGAGTTATGCACAATAGCTGTCAACGAACATTTGGCATGGTCTGGAATAGTCATGGTACGCTTTTCAACGCGCTTAGTCATGCGTGACGTCATCTACGCGCAATTTTGCGTTTCTACATTATCGATCATATCAGCCTAACATTGCCGTTTCGAAATCGTGTTAAGTGAGCATTAACTTCGGGTTAATGTTGAATGTACTGTACCTTAATGTTACACGTGCGCTTCATTACGCGCGCGTACGCGTGCGTCAAATTTTTAAAAGGCTCAAAATCACTTTTGGACTAAATTAGAGCATGTTTCAGGCAATTTTGAGCATTTGAAAATTTTTCATAATTTTCCACTACGCGCGCAGTACGTATGGATCTAGAAATTAGGTTTTTTTACATATTTTGGGTTCCTGAAATTTTTTTCACAAATTTAAATTGTTTTCGGTCCATCTTATGGCCAATAGCAATGTCGTACGTGCACATCAAACATAGGGACCTTTGTGGGGATTTGTGCCGATATACAGTGAAAATATGCTAAAGTAAGGCCTATTTTTAATCAATTATAGCTCCTTAGGATGAAAGGTGACCCCCAATTTTTATTACATATTGTGAAACCACATAAGTTGTAAATATGATTTTATAGATCATAATGGCTGATCGGACATTGTGACGTCATCATTTTGCCATCTGAATTAAACAAACTGAATTTTATCGATGACGTCATTTTTTTAAATGCGCATTTGAGCGTATCTCGCTCATCCTTGGTCGATGGTCTTCCAACTTTGAGTATGTTATAGCAGAGACAATTTTCTTTCAAATATATGAATTCTTTTTCTTTTTGATGACGTCATCATGGTAAAAAAAAATGGTTTTTTTTTTTTTTTTTTTTTCTGACCCCCTCATCTATCTTTCCTCAAAACGTTGATGAGCCCATATCATCTTAACCAATCGTCATTTCTAAATCATATTAGGTGAGCATAAACTTCAGGTCAAGGTTGAATGTTATGTACCTTCATTTTCCGTTCGCGCTTTTTAGCGTGTACGTACGCGTATGTCAACATTTATGTATTCATATAGCTCCTTAGGATGAAAGGTGACCCCCAATTTTTATTACATATTCTGAAAGCACATGAGTTGAAGATACGATTTTTTAGATCATATTGGCTGATCGGACATTGGCTGATCTGACACTGTATCAAATGAAATTTGATCGTATTTTAAACATTTTAAATTTGTATTCTGAATTGATTCTATATATATTTATACTGTTTGATGTTTTTTATTGTAAATTCAACTATGTTTACCTAGTTGCTAAATAAATAAAGAATTTGAATTCATATCAGCAGTCACTCTTTGTGCCATCACCGTGCTCACGGGCGTCAAGCCCGTGAGCACGGTGATGGCATTTAAAATGCTGAAAATTATTCTTTTTAAAAAAAACTAGTTACAGAATATTTTAGCGTATTATAAAACTTTTCAATCAGCACTGCGCGCGCTTTATAAGGGTCAAAGTACGGCGGATCACCAAACTCGTCTTCAGTGATGAGTTCAAATCTAGTTTTTTTCATGGCATTTGTATGCATTGATTAAAACATCTAGTGACATTGTAGTGCCAACATTGGATACACTCCTAGTTAAGTATGAATAAAAATACATCTCAAACACTGATATGGTATGTTTCATCAACAGAAAATCTGAACAATCTTTTTACAAATTTGGGATTTGTTGTCATTGTTGAACGCAACAAAACTGCTCCGGATATGAAGCGTTTGTTAGAGGATGTAAGTCAATGGGATCATAAAAACTATGATTGTTTTGTTTGTTGTATCCTGTCTCATGGAGGCTTGGGAACCATTTGTGGTACTGATGGAGTACGCTGCAAGATATTAGACATCACCAGTCAATTCAAGCCTCTGCATTGCTGCAGCCTTTCTGGCAAACCAAAGTTATTCTTTATGCAAGCATGCCAAAGAAGTCCAAAAACTAAAAATGTACTCGTACAGACGGATGACAATGAGCCTAGTGAAAATAGCATACCGGAGGATGCTGATTTCTTGTTTGGCTATGCCACAGCTCCCGATAATGCGGCAATCCGCACTTCTCGAGGCTCTTGGTACATAACAGAGCTGACAAAAGCTTTAAAAGAGTATCACAACACTCATCATATTCTTGATATTCTAACATGTGTGAATAATGAGGTAAGCAAAGCTGTTGCAGGTACTTTTAAGCAGGTGCCAGCTCCTCAATATACCTTAAGAAAGCAGTTATTCCTCACTAAATCGTGAGTGAATTTTTAATATTTGTATGATAGTAGTACTATTGGTTAACACTTTATGTTAAATTGGACCTTTCGTTGAATCAAACTTAATAACTGAATAGTGGTTGGAATAAGCGCTTGTTTCACAAACACATGTGGTGTCCCAGAAAGGCATGTTTACGCTGTTGTTTCATAAGAATGTGGAACTTAGCAAAAGTAATTAAGGTTACGTAGCTTTGCGGATAGTCCATTACACAGAGCCAGAAAAACTACCAATATAGTGGTAGAGGTTGCAACTTGTGCATGGTTCATGCTGTATCCACTAGCCAGAGAAAAATTTTCTTTTAGGAACTTACCTCGAAAAAAAAAAGATAGTCCAACCTAGGCTTATATAATGCAACACTTAACGTAATATGTCTTGAAATCACGTATTTCACTTACACTAAAGACCAACAACGTCACTTCTGATTTGTGTGGTCGATTTCGTGAATGATGAGAGACGGAAAAGATTGTTAACAAATAGCACTTACCTGAAGATCCTGTTGTGTGATAGCACTGCCCAAGCCACAGGCACCTGGGTAGAGAAGACACTGTGGTGCTTATTCAAAATAGAATAATTTTGAATAAACATTGAGAGTGGCGCTTAGCGACAATATTCATATTTGTTGCAGTGCTTATTCTAGAATTAATGGTGCAAGGCTCAGAACATAAAGAGAAGATAATATACCGGTAATGAAAATAAATGATGTACACAAATTTTGTTTTAACTTTTTAAATTTTTTAGTTGGTGTGTTAAATATTTTGTATATAATGTGTAGGTTAATATGAAAAGAGTGAATGTAATAGTAAGTAGTTCTTCAGTATTGGTGAGCCTTCTATAATGAAATATTACAGTTCTGGGGCGGATGCAGGAATTGGTGGTAGGGGGTGCATGCATGAATAAATAGTACCTGTAGATGGCCAGAAATGATATTTTTATAATAGTAAAATTCATCATCATCACATCACTATATCATATAGTCAAAAATGAAGCGCAAAAATTTTTTCAAGATTTTGTTTTTTATCGACGATTTTCGGCAACCATAGAGATCTAAGTAGTATGTGTGATAACCATAGAAAATATAACTTAAACAATTTTCTTTGATGTATTTACTTTACCTAATTCAAAGCAGTAAGTCCACAACCATCTCTGCCACACTATGGTGGGGGCTGAGGTGGGTGAGAAAATTTGAGGAAATAGTACCTTTAGATGGCCGGAAATGACACTTATATAGTAAAATTCACCATTATCACACCATCATGTCTAGATGAAACGCCAGCAAATTTCTCACGATTTTTAGTCAGGGATTTTCGGAAAACACAGCAATCTAATTATTATGAGTGATGTACCATAGAAAAAAAAAATCTTACCAATAATTCATATCAACAATATAATATTTTTCTTTCTTCTTGATAGAATTTAGGGGGTTCGACCGCACTCTCTGCATCCGCCCCAGCAGTTTACTAAGAGGTGCAAGGTGAAGAACATTCTTCACAATATGATAGTGTTATATTGATCATGTACAAAAAAACTGTGAGGCATTCCTATATGTTTTAGGCTTACAATTTATACTTAAAAATGATGATGTGGTTTGTAATATAAGTAATAAATTACGTTTAATATTTTGTAGTACTAATATTATTGACATTTCCCAAAAATGGTCGTTTTCTCTACGTAGACTATATACACCCATTGCTTAACAATGGGCTAATAGCTTCACATGAGCTTTCTCTTTTGTTTTTGTTTTTTTAGGTAGCTTTGATCAGTAGAGTAAGAATGCTTTGATCTTTAATTTAAATCACTGTTATGTCACCTGCTAGAGGTAATATTTTGATTGGTTTACACTTTTGGTACTTATACGCTTGTTAATATGAATTATTTTTTCATTCCTGATGATGACAAAAAGTTGAAATATTGAATCTCAACATGATGGCATGCATTCAATACTTGGAGTTTGTATTATAATTTCTTATGCATTTGTGTTGAATGGCTACACCCCTAGACGGATATTTGACGAATTATGGCGAATTTTTATTACTTATTTGATAGGCATCGAGCTACTATAATATGACTTCATGTAGGCTGTTTTCTAATGTCGAAATGAGCTTCCAAACCCAAAACATTTTGAACAAAACAAGAAACAAAGAGTATGCAATGTAACCATCTAATTTATTTTCAAGGGGGTGGTTTACGAGGATTGGGCCTCTTGCGCCACCACTGGATTCAATAATCTGCTGTATCCCTTACTCTGCCATTTTTGATAGGTGATGGTCTGCGACCAGTAGAACTGAAAGAGCACTGGTAAATATTTATTACTTCGTAATTTGCATAACAAATTTATAAACCATGGCTTCCTAAGATGTCATTATTTATATATAATGGCACTCTACCAATATATATTGGCAGTATTAAGAAACCATTATTTAGATATAATAACCTTGACACGATAACACGTGTGCATTATATACATACAATGAGTTTCAAGTCCAAGCATTATATACATATAATAGTTTTGCGACAGCTATTATTTATATATAATGAAATGTAAAAGCAGTTATTTATATATAATGAGTTTTAAGTCAATTCATTATTTATATATAATAAAATCAGTGAACTTATATATAAATAATTTTAAGTTACCGGTACTTTTCATTATTTATATATAATGATGTGTTACCACTTATTTATATATAATGAAACCAGTAACCTTATTATATATAAATATTGTTTGGTTACCCTTTCATTATTTATATATAATGAAATCAGTAAACTAATTATATGTAAATAATGAAAACGTTAACGCAATTATTTACATATAATCTTTTAGACGTAAATGCACTATATATAAATAATGGGTGATCTATTCAATTATATGTTAAATAATGAATTATATATAAATAATTTTGTTAAATAATGAATTTACACTTGGCGCCTCATACTTCCAACAAGTCGTTCTATTCATAGAAAAAGCCTTTTGGTGGAGAAAGGTCTAATCGTTAAAGCTTATAATAATATTTGATAATATTTAGATAAAGAAAAAAGATTGAAATATGTTAAATACAGATACAATGTATAGGCCTACTCAGGCCTAGTTCTAGAGTACAGGACAAATATGTATATGTATCGATATGTATGTATGTATCGGTATGTATGTATGTATGTGTGACCAGCACAACTCGTACAAGACGAGGAATTATCTAAATTGGTTCAATCACTGGACAGACAGAGAAGAAGACCGAATTTATAAAGCAAATCAATAGGTTTATTAAAATATCAAAGACAAGTTAGAAATTAATAACAGTTTCAAGGTCACACGTAAACTCAGTCGAATTCGAGAACGATCTTACCAAGAAATTAAGTTAAGCACATAAATGATAATACGTTAGATATAAAGAAACTTTAACAAAATCGTTAATTAAAAGTAAAGTAGTTAATAATAATAAACGCTAGGTAAACGTAAATAACGTACCAAATGCAATTAAAGTAAATTAAAGTTCTACAGTAAGTATTATTATTGAGTTAATGTTAAATTACACGTTTTTGACGATAGATATTATTAAACTATTTAAAACAAAACTTTTTATTAAAAACCAACACAGTCCTTCTACAATAACAATTCGTTAGCTCCCATTAAGTTACGGTATGTTTTGTAAATGGTATTAAATGAGTGACGTCGGAAAATGAGTCAGCTGTATTTACAATGATGTTACCGGACCGACGGTTGAACTGTCACTGGCTTGGTCCATCCCCAAGTGTTATTTGATGAGGGTGACTATGAGGGCGCAATGTAGTACTTATTCAAAATATACTCTCACATACACCCCCCAATTTACTATTGTTGTCCCCAACAATTTAAAATACAATTAAGCAAATGGATACAATCAAAATATATAAAAGCATAAGATACATTAAGAAAATGTTCGTCAATATAAGTTCATGATCAGTCTCAATGTCCAAATCTCACTGGTGGACGAATTATTTCGCGCAGATTGTACCTGTTCTCAAAATCTGACGAACTGTCTTCCGAAGAGCTACCTTCTGAACTGTACGATGCAAATTCTGGCGGTGGAGGAATGAATGAAGTGAATTGTTCTGTCTCTTCGTCGCTTTCATCAAGGGCACTAAAGGTACAGGGAATAATTAAATTCCGATGAACTGTTCTTTCTTTATTTCCATCAATCGAACGTACAACATACAGGGCTGATCAGGGAATTTAGACACTACCGTATAAAGTTGATTTTCCCATCTATCAGCAATTTTCCGTCGACCACGAATACCTTTATTGGCTATCAAAACTTGACAACCATTTTCGAATTCGGACTCTTTTGTCTTCTTGTCGTAAGTCGCTTTCTGCTTGAGTCGCGCTACATCGACTGCACGTGTCGCTTCAGCGTACGCTAATTCTAAGTTGTCTGCCAACTGGCGTACATAATCGTTTTCGATGTCCACGTTGTCCACAGGTTCTGTGTCGTCATTGATGCCGCATAGTAGGTCAACTGGAATCCGTGGTGACCGTCCAAACATAAGAGAAAATGGTGAAAATCCAGTGGACGAGTGGGATGTACAGTTGTATGCATGAGTCAACGCTTCTATGTGGTCTGCCCAATTTGGTTTCTGGTCAGGTTGTAGGGTGCCAAGCATGTTGAGCAAGGTACTATTGAAATGCTCAGTCATTGCATTCTCTTCGGATGTTACGGAGTGGTTCTGCTTTTCGCAATTCCAAAGAGATCGCATAACTCTTGGATGATGGCCGCCTCAAAGCATTTGCCTTGGTCACTGTGTACTCTCTCGGGAAGTCCATAGTGTACCATAAACTTGCTCCACAAAGTCTTTGCTACCGTTCGCGCAGTCTGATCACGCGTTGGGTACGCCTGCGCATATCTTGTAAAGTGATCCGTTATTACTAGGACGTTTTCAATTCCCCCTCTGGATGTTTCTAGAGTAAGAAAATCTATGCAGACAAGTTCAAGTGGGCGATACGTTTTGATTGACACTAAGGGAGCTCTGGTTTTAGGATCTGGAGTCTTCCGCAGTACACATCTGGTGCATCTATCGATGTAGCAACGGATGTCCCTTCTCACACCAGGCCAAAAATACCTGTGGTTTACAAGGTCTAATATGCGTTTAAACCCCAAGTGTCCCATCTTGTCATGAACGCTTTCCAATACATGTTTCCAACTAGATTTAGGCAATATTAATTTTCTCTTATTTGAAAACTGGATAAACAAAACACCATCC